GAAGAGGGGGGCGCGGAAAGCAATTTAAGTGACCCACCTTCAAGTCCCTGTGAATTATGGGCGTCTGGCAGTGATGCAGCCTCGAAACGGCCTCACAGAGGTCCGCAAGAATGCGCAGGACTTCAGACTCGAGGAATGCCTCCTTCTTTTGTTGGCGCTCATTCAAGATCCGTGAAACGGAACCTTTCGGGGTGATAGAAGTGGCGTTAGTGGCAATTCAGGTCCGAGTTTGGCATTGGGACATTTCGGCAAGTAATAGCCAATAGTTGGCTACCAAACCAACTACCTCGCATAAGGTGAGTGGTCCCGGTTAAGCGCAACGCCTGTGTTTTAGGCGACGACTTACTAGGGTAGTAGGCTGTTAAGAGGAGGACTTCGTAAATGCCTGGTTCTTTTTCCGACACCTGGGATGTGATGTAGCTTACAATGTTCTTGTGCGACAGCGAGCTCTAAAGAGAAGGTCAAAGAAACGAGAGGTTAGATTCGAACGTAGACGGTAGAATCGAACGCAATGCGTATCTGAACAGGCACAAACACACGCACACACAGACACACACAAGCGCGCGTGTGGTGTTAAAAAGCCTGCGGATGAAAATTTGTTTTACTAATGTTGGTCAGAGTGTCCCCTACAACCGCCGCGGTTACCATGGAAACGGTCGCAGCTGAGGCGTGGATCCAGCAAAGGCAAAAAGATGAAAGAAGAGGAGGATGAGGAGGATAAGATAAAAAAAACTCACCACAATTGTTATTTCCCGCTTCATAGCTGAGACACCCGCCTCGCTGTTGACGAGGGTTCGTTTCAGAGCGAAACGCCGACCGCTGGAGGAGTGCACGCGATATACTATCCCAAAACCGCCTAGAAATAGCACCACAAACGTAGCACGTGAGGTAGAGCATGATGCTGCTGCGATTCATCAAACCAGCCGGAAAATTAGCGATAAAGAGTCAGCGCGTTTTTCATGTTTTCAGCTACAACTTTTGTCGTGAGTCTGAACATGTGTTCGTCTTGCGGACTTAAGTGCCATTTCGGCATAGTTAAAAGCAACCATTACGTTGCGCTGTAAACATTTCTAGATGACAGCTGCAAAAACCGCCTTTTGAAACAATAATCTTCAAAATAAATAACTGAAGTTTGCTTGTCGACAAAATCAATAACTGCAATGACAAAAGGTCAGTTCTTTTTTAAAAAAATGACGCCCAAATCACTCCATGATGGCTGTCGTTAGTGAGGCGACTTGTGTGTAATCAATACAACGAAAAGGAATGAAGACTATTATCAAAAACAATTTTTTTTCAAACCCACAATCTTACCTTCGGCGATGACCGAGTCCAAAGTAAACCGTTGGTTGTTTATGGTTACTTGTTTGCCCAGCTGAAGTCCCGAACTGCTGCATCCGCTGCCTCCAATATGATTGTGGGGCGATGTAACCTCATTTTCACCGTGGGAAAGCAGTGCCAGGATTTTACGCATGGGAATCTAAATTTGGAAGAAATGCCCTCTTTAGGAATAAATGGCGACGAAAATTCTCTTCTACCACTAGTGTAGATATAACGATTGAGAAATTAGGAACCTGGAGACAACGAATTTCGTGCAAAACTTGGGTTTAGTTACGGTAAAAACTAAGGCTGTGGAGGCTTGGTTGAGTTCGCAAAAATTCGAGATTTTAGACTGTTGGTTGTAAACTGTCAAATAACATAAATGTTAATTGCGCTAAACCAGCAAAAAAAACTAAGACAACTAGCTATATCAAGGACAATTTTCACATTGAGTTGATGAAAATTGCTTAAGCTAAGAGCAAGGATTATAGCCAACATTTGAAAAATATGTTGGTAAAAGAAGAGGAGTACGTATTGTCTAGCAAGGAGTCGTATTAACCGCTTTGTTTGTCCGTTAAAAAAAGAGTTCATTTCATTTTAAATTTGTGGTAGGAGCTAAAACTACTAAGAGGTTTCACTGTTAATCACATGTTCAGAACATCGATGTCAAGATTAAAAAAGACATTATAGAAGACACAAAAAAACATTAAGCTGTAGAATAAAACTAGAAATAACAAAACTCATTTAATTTCATGTCGATAAAAAAGTAAAAAGAACACGTAAACGAATGATACAATAAGCACTTTTGAGAAATTATAAATTGACCAAAGATGAACATCTAGGCATTGAGATCCCATAATTGATTAAAAAGAGCAACATGATACAAAAATCAGTATTTCCTAAAAGTGACCGCAATAACTCACTACAACGTTGTGAACAACATCAGAAATATCAAAATAAGTCATCAGTTTTAAAAAAAATTTATACGATTTTACCTTATTAGAAGTGTTTGTGCATTGCTACTTCAAAACTCATTAACATTAGTTAAAACATCAAAAAAAGCTCAATGCAAGAAAAAGACGACTTTTCGACAATAATCCTGTAATCTACGCAAAAACATATTTGAAAACCCTGACAATTTAAGAAGAGCTCGATGACTTTATCAAATACAAACAAAATTAACCTTGAAACATGCCAGCATTCAAATATTTCGACATAACATGTTAATGCCCACTATTTTCGTTCAAGAACTTCTTTGCGGTATTTTTAGTCTTATTTTATAGATATGAACTCAGCAATATAAACAAAGTGAGGATAATTTCTCAAATCCACATTGCTAAAGGTTTTTAGACACAAATTTAATACCAGTAATTTTACAATTACAAAATATGCATTTGAACTATATAAAAAATAAAATTCCAAAAATAATTGCTTAATGTTTTTTTTAGGTTTTAACGACCTTCCCACAAATAAATTTCTTTTTAGGACTATAATTAAGCAATCATGAGACCAAATAATCTTGATATTACCTTTGCGTCACCTTCGCAAAAAAAATTTTTTTTACTTCAAGCAAGCTTTCAAAAATGTTTGACCCATAATTACTAAGCAGAATCACAAAGAAATACAAAGCTATACAAATGTAATTTAGGGTATATTCGTCTTGTTGAGAAAGGTATCACGTGTCATATAAGCTTAAAATCAACTCTTCGTGAAGCGAATTTTAGTATTTCGCATATAGACTCAACATGACTGTTCCTATGTCCAATCTTCGTGCACATAATTTTTCACAATTAACGACTAATTGGTGACAGATACACCGGAATTCATTCGGCATATTTTAGCCCATACAAGCCATCGTCTAAAGTTTAGTATGCATGTTTCAAATTTTTAGCTTTATAAGCTCTAGAATTCATTGTGTTATTTAAAAAAGTCAATTTTTTATTCGTTAGTATAATTTTCAAAATTACAATTTTGCTAAAATGATTAAACGCGGGTTATCCAAACTATTAATCCTAAGTACTTTAGTTCATTATTTTAAACAATTATTTTATGAGGCACCCTTTCTATGTAAACTTACGTTTCCATGTTCTTTGCCGTGTTTTGAGTGATATTTGGTGAGGGTGTTCTCAAGGAATTTTGCAATCTTATCCACATAGGCGCAATGCGTTCAGATAATGACAAATAAAGGTCCGTTTTTTGAGTTCGTAATGGAAGCGAGAGCAACCCAGTAATTATAAGCCATTTTTAATGTTTAGGTTTTTATATCAAGGCTTAGTCTTAGCCTACCTGACAGTTTTCCAAAAGGCGCATGTCATCCTTTTTCCAACAAATAGCATATTTCCAATCATTTTAACAGAATCAAATGCTAATTTATTATCTCCAATTGGAGGCAGTTTACCCAAGTATTCAATTTGTGATTATTTTGCGTTCCAGGGGGCACAAATTAACTGTCGTTTTATATTGTTACTCATAACAAGTTCATCAGTATTATTTAGAGGTATTCATTAATTTTGGTTGGATTTTAGATAAGCGAAATTGTTGTAACTTCTACCTTCATCTGCATGATCGAATATTGCACATTTTATCAAATATCAACCAATCTCACATTGTTTTGATCAAGTTAGAGGAAAAACGTTGTTGTTCATCAAAAATTGTACAATGGTTGAAGTGATCTTAACGTAAAAGTGGTTAGTAAGACCAAAATTTCCGAATATCTTAATTTGTTCAAATTAAAATGCATTTGGTATAGTACAAACAGAAAAATATTTATCTCACGGTTCACAAACAAGTTGAAATAAGAGTCCCCAATTTATCCGTTACAAAAAACATTAGCACTTAAGCCTTAAAAGCTTTGTCAAAATTCAGTCAAAAATGTTTGTTTAGTTGTCGTGACTTATATAAGGTTAAATGATTAGGATTAGAATTGAAGTAATCTTCCAGTTAGGATTTCAGATCAGTTATTTCATACCAATTACTGACCAGTCGGAAGAAGCTCGCACAATTTGGGCCACTTTTGGTTTGCTCTTATACTTTCACAATCACGTATTTTTTCAAAGCCTCATGACCTAGTTAATTATTGACAAAGGTCTCACGATTTACATGGCCGCAAAGCAATTTCCATAGCAACAGTAACAACAGCAGTTTGCATTCGCCATCTACATTGCTAATTAAATGCCAGTTCCTTCTAATTTATTTGCACATGCCCACACCGTTTCACTTGATTGTGAGGAGTATCTAATGAAGGCATTTAAGATGGAAAAGCATGTGCACTCGGTTAAAGCCATTTTTATATTAGCCAATAGCATTTAGGCCAACAAATCACTAAAGATATGCTTTTAACTTATTTGTAATTTCGATTGTATTTCGTGGGCGGAGATATCCAAAATGAGTCGCGAATTATATACAAACTTTTATGGAAAACATAGGTTCCTTCTGCTTAACACCATCTTGAGCAACTAACCGTGTTTTAATGCTTCTAACTCATGAAACTGCATGAAGTTGAAATTTACTTAGTTACTTAAAAGGAGTTGCCTCAACTGTGTCATCAGTGTCTAAAATAGTTTCCTTGGCATTATCAAATGCTTCAAAAAGCTATTTTAAATATAAACAATGAAAAAGATTAGTATTAGCAGCGATTAATTAATTTACCAGATTTTTTGTGCAATTTGAGGCCTGATTCCACATGTCGTCATAGTAAATTCAAGATATTTCATCTAAATTTTGAGCAATCTTTCGTAGAAATATACATATAATCATTACAATGGAATGAAATTCTGATGTTCTGGCTAATATAAAAAGCTTTTTCCCTATTTTCATATCAGAGAATAAATCAATTATGCATCGTTTAAAATAGTTCCCGGGGTATTTTTTGACCTCAATTCTGTGACTGACTTTAAGGCTCTAAAAACTCTACTGAACAAATGAGCTAATCTACACACAGAGTAGTTCTTACTCTTCGCAGCCGCGTTTCTGATCGTTAAAACTCTGTGACCTTAAAGATTACAAACATATTTTAAATCTTGATTTTCCGGTACTATTATACAGTATTAATTGTAATACACTTATTTGCTTGTCTCTTTTTAACTGCCTCTTTGGCTTAACCGCCTATCGCTTTCCACGGATCTGCAAGTGAAGGTCACGGTAGTCTTATGAATGTGGTGTGCATAACTTTGCATTAGTTTTAATCGTTCTCTAAAGAAATAATGCTAGCCCAAATTTTAAAAGATATGTATATTGAGCCAGAGCTCTTGGAGGGCTTGTCAGAAGAACAAAAGCAGATTTTATTTTGTGCAATGCGCCAGGTATGTTCATGTGTCGGTCCATATTTTGATACTTGTCGCCTAGGAACAGGTACGGAGGTATAATCAGTGGATTCAAACTTCTCCTGAAAAAGACACGAGTATGTCTTGTTCCCATTTTTTGCATCAGACCTTGCGGCAACTCCTACAAATGTTTTTTCATTCAGACTTAGTTTTCATTACGTTCTCACGTTGTTTAGTTCTGTCGGTTTTATATGGGCGCACGGTCATCTTCGTCTCAATAAGAACCTGCCTTTATCGATTTCAGTTTACTTGCCATGATTTAGTTGTTTGTTTGGGAAGGTTCATGTGGTGAATGTCCTCTTAATTCTTTCCCGCCAAAAACACATGGTGAACTACAATACAGACACTCTGTCGATGTTCTTTTTTATTTGCAGAAATAATCGAACTTAAGTTATAATTAACATTGCGAACCAATGGAACAATATTTGATAACTATTGAATGATACCGTATTTGAATTATGAGTTGCGACGTATTTATAATTTTTCACAATAACTAGATTTCATTTTATGGGGACCGCCCTGTATACGTTTCAGATAGTCTTATTTACGTGTAAAGGTTTATTGCCTATTCTGGGATTTCAGCTACACATAATAAAACTGCTGCCAACAAGTCCCTTCACGTCTCTTTTGCGACCGATTCAGAAGGCAATGTGGTGACCACAATCATCCCAGATAATACGAAGTAAGACCTTACTGTGATGTATTTATTAGTGATTTGAATGCATGGGATTTTAGCAGCAGCAAGCGTTTACGGATAAAACTCTCTGACTATCTTTAGCTGTGTTTTTTTCGTTTTACCTAAGTCTGGTTACTTTATCTTGCTGCGCATTACTGGAAGTGAAGAAGTGGGTTTCACTTTCGTCTCACTAAACCCTGTATTTTCTTAAACTTTTAATAAAAATACCAGCTTATCTCCTTTACCTTATGTGCTCAAATGTGTGTATGCCTTTTTTTCACCACTACAGTTCATCACAATCGTTGGACCGTGGTGACATCTTGCCAGTACCACCTCCCCCCGCTCATATTCGTCTCCAGGGTCGTGCGTCCGACCCCACGGTACGTCCAAATGTCTCTTCACTTAAGTTCTTCGTAATATATCTTGTTTACAATAGGTAAGTTTCGTTTAGATCAAGTATCTCTATTGGAAACTTCAATTTTCCACTCCGTCACAAGACTTGGTAGCTTCGAGTGTGTGCAACACACGCCTTCTCTTTCTTGATGGAAATTTGCTGGTTGCTTGCTTGCTAATCACATAGTTGCGCCTATTATTAGATCCTAATTGTCCGATTCGCCAAAAATGCGTATCCTTTTGCCTACCTGCGTGGTAACTTGAACCGCGTACCCAATGCACCTGTTCCTCACTGACCAAATAACCGATACACCCATGTTCCGAGTTGACGGCTTCTGGGCTGCGCAGTTGGCTTAGCCCAGAGGGTGTGCTTGCGTGGGGTGTTCTCAAATTCTCGTTAATTCTCCACCCAATACCTCTACTGCTATAGGAGTAGTTGTGTCCCTGTATCGCCCTGTGCTAAGTTACTAGAATTCTTTTACTCAGAATACAGCCCCCCGTGTGCCAGGGTCATTTTAGTGCTCAATGACCAATCAACGCGCAAAATCCCAACCTCAAGTCTAAATGTTTTTTCACAAGCCAATTTGTATAGCCTTGTGCAAGTAGGCGTGCTGATTGGTAAGTCAGAGTCTGCGTCTTATTGATTGCCATTGGCTCCCCGCTGTAATTCTGGGTTCTCTGTCAATCTTGCCAGTGCGCAAACACCTTGCAAAACTTAATGACTCTCTCCTCGAGGGCTAAAATGTGTGCGTTTTTTCCTCTGTGCTCCAGTCGTGTTGGGTGTGGTTGTTTAACGTTACAACAAAGCAACCAATTGAGTGCGGTCTGCTTGTGTTATAACCTTATTTCAAGGAAAGCAATACACTTCTCTTTGAAGTAGGTTCTGAGCGCAAGTGCTCTTGAAGGCAGCTATCTAATTGCGTCATTATGTGGCCATTAAATTAGTAGGTGTTAAATATTGTTCTTGTGTTAACCAATCACAGCAAAACGCAATCGTGTCAACGAAGACATTGATTGGGCGGCAGTCATCATCATCTTTATCATCCCGAGGTCATTTTGGCTTGGCGATCAAATTATAGCCCGTCTGGGAATTCGTTTTTTACAGGTGTCTCTGAGACGTTGCAAAAATACCATTCGACGTCCCGTACGTGAGTAACACTACCAAGTGCTTTTTGCAGCCGCTATTGTGTGTTTTTGCTAGTACACTTTTCTTCCGTAGATTTGCTGCATTTTTCGACACTAGAAAACGACTCCTTTTTGGTGCTAATGCAAAGCAGTCACCAATTTATCACGTAATATCGCTTTGCTTGTTTGCTTCGTTCTCAGCATTTGACGTTAAATTTATTTGTACAGCTGAGTTGCCGCCGAGTTGACTTTGCATTCGCAATGAGTTTGGCAGGCAAAATTTGTGCAAGTCACTGATCTCGATACGAGGAAACGTTTGGTATTTCACATACAACCCGTGAGTACATTTTTAGTGTCTCAAGTTAAAACTCTGCGCCCAATCCTGAAGGCCTCGGATGACCTTGAAACGGGGGTTAACCAATGGGATGGTGCGTGGCCGATTAAGAATGGTGTGCATAGCTGAATGTGCGCCACATTGGTTGAACTCGGAAACTGGAAATGCGGTCTATCAATCAAGCAGGCTGATTTCAATCTCAAGATTGCCTGACTCCCCACCATAACTGTCCGAACTGTCCCTGACATAAATCAAAGCACGCAAATAGTTGTGGATTGTCCTGAGTAACTAGTGGGCTATGCATTTCATCAGTGACTTTCCTACTGCGCTGGATACGATTCTGTTTATGAACTGGGCCGCTAACTGTTTGGTAAACTGATTTTATTATGATGGTGGTGGTGTTGATGGCTGACAGCACCGGCCGGATCGCTTTATTTGCGTAGCTAGGCACTACGCCGTCAGCGTAGTGATTCGACTGATTGTCCTCCTGGACAAATGAAGCCGTTCTACGTCCGAATTCGCTTTTTCGCGTGTTCTGATGACTGCCTCTTTCGGCTACGACTAATCCTCGCGTTAGACCTCTCAGACCGTCCCTTTGTTGGACAACTTCAAATCGCTTTCTCCAAGTCCAATGTCTACTGCAAGATGCCCACCGGCAAACAGCACGTTCCCTCATCCCCCTGCACAATTTCTTGCTATTCCTCACTAATTCGTAGACCAATTGCAATGCCTCACGCATCTTGAACACGTGTTCAGCGCTGTTGTATCCATCGGTTGTGCAATTACGAGGTTTGTGATGACTTTTCACGACACATGTAATCACTAATCTTAATGATTCTTAACCACCACACACAGATGTTATCAATTACTGCACTATAGCAGTTGTCAACTTGTCTGGTAAATTTCCAGCGGTTGATGAAGGGTCATATTACGTCTGCTGGACCACATGTAACCTCTCCTATCAAATTCTCCCCAGCTGCTAACCCGCTGTCACTGTGGCGTTCGATGCACAAGCTTCGTTGCACGCCTGACCTTCGCCTTGTAGCCTCAGAACAGGCCTGCCGTGGCAACCACGACGTCGGCAACACGAAGTCCACCCGTCAGCGTCACGCGCCTGTCAAATTGCATGCGCGCCCGCATCTCCCAATTCGAGGACGTCGATCTTTCCAGAACCCGCAACGCCAACTTCCAAAGAAGTCGTGACACGGGCGACTCTCCTGCGAGGTCGCCGCCTGCAAACCACCTCGACTGGCGGGAGGTTCGTCTGAGAGTCAGACGCCAAGAGGAGGAACACCGTCGAGCCGTCGTGGCAGCTCGTCGAAGCCTTCACCTCGACGTCCACGTCGGTGGAGGTGAGTGGGGTTCTGCTGACTTGCCTGGTCTTTTTTAAGGAGATTAGACGTGGCTGCCACTGTCGGTGTGTGTGTTTTTTTCTTTCGTCAACTCTCAGGCGAGTACGCCGCGTCGACTAGGTTTGGAAAATCGACATCCCACGGACCCACAAAGCCCTCCATAACCGATCTGGTTGTTGCCCAGTCGGCGTCGTCGACGTCAAACGACGCTTCTGTCAACCGGTTCGGTGTCGCCTCGACAAGCGCCCTCCTCGAGGCCTCGCTGATCTGCGCCGACGTCGACGGAGGCAGCGCGGACAAGTCGGGCACCCTGCGCCTGCAGAAGACCTTCGGCGCGAGCGCCATCATGGACTGGTTCAGGGAGTGCGAAGCGCCGCACCTTCTGGCGTCCTTCCGTGATCCATCCAACCCCGGGGCACTTCGAATTCCCACGTGGTTCCACGGTAATGCCTCCAACTTTTTCGACTATCCCTTTGTCGATACCTCTCATTGGCTGCACACCTTCTCTTCTTACTGGTTAATTGGCCTTAGCTAGCTATTGGTTGTTAAGTTGTCGGTGCTTATTGGCTACTGGACGTGTTCTTTGCGGCTTACTCAAATAGACCAGAACGTGTGCAAACTTGGCTTATTGCATAAGGTCAATCTCATGACTAAATAGACGAGGCACAGCAATAGTTCAAGTGTTCAGAAGTAAAATTTCGTTTATATTGCTGTCTTTAAATTGCATAATTTAAAATACCCGTGTTATTTCGTGTTAACTCCATTACATGACTTCGGTTGTTTTGCCCAATCGGAATGTATTCCTCAAATATCTTCTCCCAACAGAGTTAATTATAACTTTGGCGGGGCGAAGTAATTGTTAATCGCCAGATGATCAAATCGAATTCACGTTCTGATTGATTGATCGCAAGCATTGCGTTGTTGTTGAAACCCGATTACTAAAGGTGTCGGAGTTTTTTGTCTAAAAAAAACTGTTAGATAATGTGCGATTAACAGTCTAGTGAGAAAAAAACTTAGGAACAGTCTGTTCATGTCGTAAAAACTGCAAAACTACTGATCAAGCTCACGGACCAATGAGGTCTCTGCTCAGCTTTCTTTAACCCTCCAATCAATGAAGGCCCCTTGAAACGCCTACCGTCGGAGGCGTTGCTTCAGGGACAGCGGGCGAACAGCTTCCTCGTGCGCATCAGCGACAGTTTTCTAGGCTACATTCTCACGCACATCAACGCCGACGCCGCGTGCACCCACGTCTTCGTCAACCTCGTGAAGCCCCTCGTCATCAATGATGGGGAACAGGAAGGCGCTGAAACGCGACTTTACCATCTGCACGGCCAGAAACCCCAGTTCCCATCTCTCCTCGAACTTGTTAATTATTACAGAGTACGTTTTCGTCGTTTTTTTTCGCTCGAGCTGCCTCCTTTGCCCTTTTTACCCCAACTCGAATGCTATTGGTCGGATTGGATTTCTTGCATCTCATTGGCTGCTTTTGTGCACTCTCCGCCAATCAACGAGGGTATTTTTTGCTTTTTTTTAGGACCATTCCATAATGCCACACGATGAGCTTTATTTACAGTATCCCGTGGGACAAACCATATCGAAGGTCCATCCTGTCGCCGACTATTTCCCCCTGCTGTTTCATCGCAACTCCGCAGACAAGGTCACCGTTTTTTGAGGCGTTCCATAACCATGCTTTTTCCATGACTAAACGCTCTCTACTGTAATATTTTTTGCACTAACAATGAGTTTTGCCTTTGCGTCGCAAGCTTCTCCAGCAATCGTCGTCGGGAAATAGGGGCTACTGTATTGTTGTAAGTAGGCGGTGTGTTGTCAACTCCGGCAGCTACAATTTGCGGGCTGCACATTTTCTGTGACCTCCAAATGTAGAACCATCACACTGCCAGTTAGGTTAGATTTTGTGAAATCAAATTGTTTAGTGAGACAGCATAAAAAAGACACCCTAACAACTTGGTTTCTGAGGATTAGATCGGTTACGACTTTGAGCAGAAGGCAATTTTGCTTGGTGATGGTGGTGGTAGTGACATAAATCAGACGAATGTGTGTATATTGTAGAGTTTCGGTACCTTCTATCCGCACACAGGAGCCTTGTTATGCTTTTAAATGTCGCATTTACTCATTACTTATCGGCGAACTTATCCCTAAGGCACTCACGTGACACATGAAGGTCATTCATTGACCTTGAGACGGTTGTCCAATGATAACTGGCGCTGCCTCTGTTGAAAGTCGTCTGCGAATGTTACTGCGTTCTGTTAGTTTTTGTCCAGCTGTGCACCAACCAAACGCCCAATCATACATTTGATAACAAAAACCAGCTTGTTTACAGTGCCCGAATAATTAGTATCATTTACACCATGTAATTTAACGCGCGTTAACGTGTGTAATTAGACTCGTCTTTTTCAACTGCTGTATTTGCAAATAAGAGTGATAAATGTAATTCAATTAGGCGCTTTTTCTTTTACGAGAGCGTCGCTTAGCAACTAAGACACCTCCAGCCTCCTGTCAGAGTGGGTCGCTTAAATTGCGATTCAAAATGAAATTTGTCCAATGTAATCGTTGTAGGGTGCCTTAGGTTTCTACAAAAATCGAGAAGAGTGACAATGTATCCTGCTAGACAGTGTTGTATGTCGCTAAAGTGCGAAATGAAACCACTGAGTTAAGCTCAGCGAATGGGAACCCTCGCAGCAAGGTCGAATTTGCGAGTTACTCATTTATCAGCTCCCTCGCAAATTTGAGCAAAATCATCGTCTCCAAGGGTTACTTGTATGGTTTCATGTCTGGATTTCGTAAAAGTTGACAGTCTCGATACTCACATTTGGTTGCCGAAATTTGAGGCCCACAGCCAATCAAATTGGTTCTAGCAAATGCTACATTCATCTAGTAATTTTGAAAATGATAATGATGCTTCTTTATTGAAAATTCAAGGTCAGACATCTGATTGTGATAGTTTCAAACGGTTGTGCCAAATGTCAGTTGCTGCGGATTTTATAAAGGCGAAGATGTCTTTGACCAATCACACCTAACTGAATGCTGATTCAGGTTAAACAGTTAGAAATCCCGGTAAAGCTAACTTCTAACGAAACCAATAAAAATTTCCCAACAAATGACATTGCACCGGAGCCATATGTGAGAAAAAAACTTGATTACTCTCTAAAATGTTCAAAAAAACAATAGGAAAGCGATATTTATGTTTTCCAAATGGTTCTGCGAAATCCTCAAAGCTCAGTCAATTGAGTGGATCTGATTTGTTGAAGTTTACCGGTAATTTAATTACAAAAAACGCGCGCAAACGTGAATGGCTAAAGTGCCCGGGGATATCCACTGGGAAATCGCCAGTCTGTTTGGATACACCCTAATGGCTTCACTTAATCCCTGCTGGTTTCAGTCGCCTTAATCAAAAGTGACAAAATGAGAAAAAAATAACTTTTTTGTAAGGCCTGGAATGCTGTTATGATTTATGCTGCAAAAAAGTCACGAACTGTTGATTCTTAAGCCAAGCAAATGTCTCACTTGATAAAATTAGATTCAACGGCGCAGTCGGGAAATCGATAAAAATCGATAGTTCTGTTGTCCGCGTGAGAGTACAAACGAGACAATATAATAGGACGATTTCTGTGATTAATTACTACTTTGTGATTCACCCATCATGGGGATCTAATTTTTTTGTCTCTGACTACAACGACTTATTCACTAAAAAAGTAACTCCAACAATCTACTCCAGGTCCGTCGGCACATCAAAGCCGTTGCCACAAACACACAAATACATCCTACAACGTCGGTGATGATCTTGAGGAAGTCGGATTGTCGATTCAATGGGAGACACTCCAGTCTTTGAAGCAAAGATTCTACGAATCCGCGCACCCGAAATAAACGAAAAAACCAACAATTGGGCAAATTTGTCCTCCACGCATTGACAGATAGTTGTCGAAGTCTGCGTAACTAAGTTGA